CAATACAATGCTTTACACTAAATAGGTGAGTAAACTTACTCAATTAAACTGGCTCAATTGCCTGATCTGTCGCATAGCTTCTTCACTGTTTAGCGGTTTCGCACTTTCTCCCCCTGTAGTATTCCCTCGCTTTTTATCGAAGCATTACACTTTCAACTAGGACATGAAATTTTTCAAGTAAATCCGCTGAAAAGTAGGCCGTAAACTTGCTGTCGTGTGTGATGCACCACGGTCTTCGGCACCCATACGACAGATAAGCATTTAAGTTAATTTACCTCAAACTAAAGCTGTACCTCATCAACGAGCTTTTGTCCAACACAAGGCAAAACAGAAACTGGAAGACTCTGAAAATCTTTGTCCTAATTCCGACATTCTTTTGTCTGAAAATCCAACCGCATTATTGTTGCGAATGTTGGAGATGCCTGACGCTTCTTCTTCCTGGCCCTACCATTTGCAAACAGCCGTTCATATAAGATTTCCTGCTGCAGGCAGCTTGTGTCCATTACCAACCCCTGAAAGTTTACACATGGTATGTTGCTTATACTTCGGGCAAAGGTAGTTCGTATGAGTTGCTTCTACAATGGTCTAAGTTCTTTTCCCGCGCTTTTTCTCACCATTATGCGGAGAGACATGTAAACGACAGAACTGTACCTCGGTATCAGTTAATCAGTACATTTCATTTGGCCCTAAAGAATGTCTCTAATGGCGATGTTGATATTTATTATGCTTGTGGTGTTGACAATGATGATAACGATGATGATGATTAGGGATGGAACTACCATCATTCGGTGTATATGGTTCATTCGTCCTGTCATGGGGAACGAACTGCTGGTTTTAAAATTCACAAAAGACCAGCTTTTAACCTTACGCTAGAAAAAGAAATAATGTTCGCTGATTACTCCAAATAAAGCCCGAATGACACTCCGTCTGGTGTGCAACTTAACCGATGTTGCGTAGGCTTTGCTCACCTACAAGCACATTCTGTTATATGCCTGTTTCAAGTGATAAGGTACTAATCCCTCTTTTGTTTATGGGACTTACTTCTTTCGAAGGAGGAAATGCTCTTGGGGAGAAAACTACATTTTTCAGCTCATGCATTAATTTTATCAACAACACGGATTTAAATGGTGAACATCTGCCCTAGAGTTGAAAATCGACTGTCCATATTTTGAGTTACAAAATGAATGTGCGCCCTGTAAAGAGACCTGTTACGCATTAGATCATTACAAATGAAGTTTTTTCATATGGGGCAGAATGAGATAACACTTACGTGCAAATAATGACTCCAGTTAGTGGTTTATTTGTCGCTCCTGAAAACTGTATAGTCGTGTGCTCTCCGTTCGTCTTTTGTATTAGATCTTGTCTGTGAACTTCATTAGCGTAGATAGGCTAAACCAGCTTTGGGCTAAATAGAATGTGAAACACTGTCATCCTACGGATTGAGAACGGGGAACACTCAGAAAGGGGCAGTTCCAAAGCCATCGGGGTGTTCAGCGGCATACAGCTGATAAAGCAGCTGGGAAAATCTAGACGTCTGAATCACACGGCTCATGGGAAAACTAGAGAGTGGTTGATCGCACCGCTGTTAACTCACACACAGAAGAGAACACTATAGCCAAACGGAGTTAGTCATTACACTGCCTGGTCCGTATGGTGGCGGCAACCGCCACGTGACTGTAGCGCTGCAAGCTCAACGCGGTAAAAAAAAGGTATCCTTTGTGCTAAAAAGTCGTACTAAATAGACGATTGATCACAATGTTATCTGCACTACTAAAAATAAACCGAATTCAACTCTTACTCCCAAACACAGGCGCAGTTAGTACTGGTCTAATTTATTTCGGGTAATGAGATTAAGATCATGAAAATTCACATTCACATTGTGGCTCTCTTGACCCACCTGAATTATTGTTTTGCAAACGTCTCCTCAGCAGTCATGGAGATACAACTAGCACTTTGCTTCCCGCTGCACTAAAAAACCATTGTAAACTTATGTGATCTGGATTGTGTGGCGTCGGTAATGACTAGTCACCTCTGGCACCGTCAAAGGTTCAGTGGTGTAGTTGTTGGTGTGTTCGCTACGCCACCAGTGTTCTCTTCGATAGCAACTCAGCCGTTTGGTGTTGCCAGACAACCATCAAAGGCATTTTGAACTCTTGTCCTTCAAGGCTTCGCTACCAGAGTGCCCTCTTTCGTCAGTAATCTCTGTGTGAGCCGTCAACAAAAATACGACCAAAGTCTCTGCAACACCAGCCAATTTGCCACCTGGTCTTACATGCGGAGTCCCTTGCACCACACAACCCTCGATTTTGGTAGAGAAGGCTGATGCATGTTGACCTGACTATTTCTATTCTCCATTCCTATCATGTACTTCGGTCTCCTAGTTCACGATAGTGAAATTGGCATCCTAGCAGCTTCGCTTCAAGCTACTGGTGCACGGCTGATTGTCTTTCATTGAGAAATGTAGAGATTGTCTCAAAACTAAGATTCTCTTCATTCAGCGGCCATGTCCAAAACCCAGAAAGCGGCTGTAAGGCGCTATAGTATCTGCTGTACGTGAGCATGCCTGACGGAGCATTCCCCCATCAGATGTGAATTTAAGCCACTTAACACAGCATTCCTTTACGTAGCAGCATGCATAAGTCAGGGGCTGCGTGCGTCAATACACGGTATTTCAAGACCGCCTAGGGTGGCAGAGAATGATTATTCCGAAAACATGTATTTCAGTTTTGATCGCTAGCCTCCATATCCGTCCCTCCAGTTTCGCATCCTTGACTCAGTTCACAGGTGAATCAGACTGGTGTGTAGTAAACATCGAATCTGTCGTTTTACGGTCCGCACAATAGCCACACTGTTTTTTGTGGTCATCGGCTACATCGAATTCAGCAGTCAAACTATTGAGAAGGACGCACGACAATAAAGCAGAGCTTATCATGTTGATGCAATTATAGCTGTTGAGTGAAGGGTTGCTTTGTTTTCCACTAAATAGCGCCAGGATCGGAATAAATCTGAAGTTCAGAAGAGACATTACTTTATTCCGGATTGCTTCGGTCAGATGATGTAGTGTGCTGACTGTTAGACTGTCATAACCGAAGAACTCTAATGCAATCATACCCACTCGAAATAATTCTTAATTTAAACCTTAAAGTTATACCCAACAGTCAGATTTGAGCTTATAATTGACTGTTTCAGCTTCCGTCGTAATAAACTACTCTCTACAACCTATCCAACTGTCTTCAATGCAGTCAATTTGGTGAACCATGCAGTTTCGCTCATTTCACAGTTTTTACCATCTTGGCTTGCTACCGGGATGAACGGCACAACAAACACACCTTGCTGCTTCCTGCAACCATTAGCCTGTTCCAACCGTTAGAGCGTCCGGGATACCTTCGGGCGATTTGTTTAGATCATGCGGTCAGCTTTTCATGTCTTAGGTGTAACCGCGATTGCAAGCTGTAGTTTGAAATGCCTTGGAAAAACACCTGAACCACGTTGACACACCAACGTTCCAGCCCTAAGTTCATTCAGTTCAGGTAAAAATGGGCCATTTCAGTATGTAAAGATTATTATCTGGCTCTGTACGACAAGCTGCCGATCTATTCCAGAGGTGGGTTTCGGCAAGTTTCGTGTGAGGTGCACTTTTGGTAATCTGGTTTCATTGTCTCAAGATCACTGCGTTGCGCGGACTGATCCATATAACAATGTGTTGTTGTTTCGTGAAGAATTTGGCGTTAATGCTGGTAAGTAGCACAGGACTCGAGAAAGCACTGACAATTTGGCAAACGTGTTTCGATCGCTGAAGTTGCACAGCATGGACACGACCGACCGATGCGCTGTGGTGATGAGGGCCTGTGATCCCGTGGGTAGTATTTCTGTTTGTCGTGCTACGGTGAGCGCAATGCCGCGCCGTACGGCACTTATAAACCAATATAAGGAGTCATAAGACAAAGCGTAAAATGATTTTACCAGGATATTCATTGAACATTTGCTCAGTCATAACATTGACGGCCGGTCTGAAATGCATCTTCTCTATTCATTGCTTTTTTAACGATGCACCCGGGATTACACTGTCCTCCACCATGGCGGACTGCGTTCCACTAAGGATCAGAATATCTTATCTTTTGAGTCATTTGCAGCTAGCCTGCTTGCACGATCGTCAGTCCATCTGTCCTTCTTATCATCATGTATAATACATAAATGAGAGTGGAGAAGTTGAGAGTCAGCCTAAAACTCCAAATTGTTACCCATCTCGTCACCAGTTGAGTCCAAGATGTTGGAACTTTCCGCCAGGTAATGTCTAATGTCCATCAGAGAAAGTCTAACTGTTTCCTGGTATGACAGTAAATTGAAATTCGCGTGTTCTTTATGTGTTGCCACCTTTACTGTTACTTGAGGATCTACTTAAGCAACCTAATTCGCATTATAACTTGGTCAGCACACCTACTGTGATTGCAGCCAAGGTTGGTTGATAAGAGAAGGATACGTACCACAAAATCCCCAAAACCCAGCAAGTCGCTATTCTAACGACCGATTGCCAAACAAGCGACTGTAGAAGAACTAAAATTTATATCAGGTACTTATCTGGAATTGTATATGGTGTGGCATGTTAGCAACCTGTGGTGGAATTACCTGGATTGTAAATTTAGATGTCCCGTCTTAAGTTCTAAAATTTTAAACAAGTCGGCCAAGTGGATCACTCTACTGGATTTGAGTAGCCGTTTAGCAAAAGGCTTGGTTATTTAGACGCGATTCGCCGAACTCTCACAATGATAGATTATTTGCAATGGGCCGCACCAGTTGATTTCGAAAGTTATGTGGTTGATGGTAATCGTAACTCGGGAGATAGTTTGGAATGTTTCCTAGGATGTATTCGTTTGATCCTGAGATCCTCTGAGCTCAATCTATTATCAGCGTTTTCAGTGTGAATGACAGCACTTGTGTGATGGAACCAATAACCAATGTTTTCTTCCTTGACCCTCCTTTCCAACCACATCAATATTTAGGACTTAATGAGTGCAATACAGAACACATGGAAGGAATATCCTACCCGAGTGAAGTAAGTAGACAATGTCGAATATCTTCTGGCACTTGAAGTTTGTGAATATACTTCCGTTCTGTGTGGCGTGTTTTACAATTCTAATGCAGTTCTTAAAAAACTAACTTTGCTTTACTTTGAGATGACATCACTTCGGTTTGCTCAGGGATCAGCACTGGTGAGTTAGACGCTTAGATGGCGGAAATAAGTGATGCAGATCTTGTGCCGACCCCACTGAATGCGGTGCTCAATGTCAGATGGCATTCTGACTGAATAATGCACCGAGTAAATTTGGCAACCTTTTTCTTTGGGACATACTCCGATACGTCCCATGTAATGGCAACCCAAACCGCATGATTCCTATTCTCTGTCATAGACAATCTTTGGGAGCGACATGATGATGGCGATCCCATAAGTGTCTCTGAATGTTCCATCTAAGATATAAAAAGTAGAATTATTTGAAGTATTTCATTTCTTTCGACTTCCCCCTTAAACCTATTCGGTTAAGTTAAACGTTACTTGGTTGTTTACTTATATTAAGGATCGAGTTATCCTCTTCATAAATTTGAGGTGCATCCTCAAAGTAGTATGTTATCAGGAGGAAGTAATCTTGAGCACCACATTACAAGTCTTGGGTAGTCTGCCAATCACTCAGCAAGAGTATAGCTTGGCTAATTACAAAATCTTGCATTAAACATACTTTGTGCAGCCAGCTTACACACACTTTTCGGGTTACACAGGTTACTAATCAGACATAAAGCTGACGTTTCTAGCACTACGAAAACGCTCGTTTTATTTGCTTGTCAGATTTGACACCCCACTGCCACGCTAATTGTATAATAAGATGTGCTCAATCAGGATTTCACCCTGAATTTGAGATTCATCCATGGTGATGTGCAAGGGAGTGATGCATGAAGGTAATCACAAGTAGTGCGCCTTTATTGAATTTCTGGGACCAATGCAACCCATCATCCTCTGGACATTAGCTCAACATTGTATCATTCGGCCACGAATGGCTGATCAGCAACTTGACTAACTCTATTGCAGACAGGGAGTGGCACCACTATCCTTCAATCACTCTCCTCACGCCGCGCGACTGACTCCCTGAATGACGACTAAAAAAGGATGGTTTATGCAACTAACTGGGCTTTTCCACATTACACTTTTTGAGTAGTGAGGGGCAATTTAAACAGCAACGAAAGATCTCACATTTGGTAGTTTGGTATGGTGGATTCCAAGTATGTTAAGTATGTACGGTTATGAGCCTCCAGATCTCCCAGCGGTTATGTAATGTCTGGTCCACTGAATGAATCAACGCAATTCATTTTGTACTCGCGGTACATCATGTATTGTCATGTCGGAGGGCGAGGATCACGTCACGTCCTCCTATTCAGCTGTGAAAGTACTTGAGCTCCATGTGGAGAATTCGTAACATCCCATTCGCCTTTAAATCAGCAAAAAAATTATTAGTGTTTGAAGAAAGCGCCTGTCGCTCACGCCACGTCTCACTCACACCACGATCTCTCGTTTCTTGCGTCAGGCATTAAGGCTACCATACTTGCGTTAGACTGCGTGTATGGTGTATGTGTATGGTCTTTCACAGTTTACTCTCTTGTGTGCCAGCACCTGATGACTTGACTTGTTGGTTACCGTGGGAGAATGCGCGCTGGTTGAAGTAATCAATCAAGCTTGTTGTGGACCTGGAGTGGTAACTGGAGTATCCTGTTCAGTACACACACAAACATGAGTCCTACTCATAACCTTCCAGCAACTTTAGAACCAGTACAAACCAACCTGCTTCATCTAGTTTGTTTTCATTTCATCATCAACAACCAATCGACCAGGCCCTTGGAAATGTTGTGTTTCATGAAGTTTAACCTCCAAGCGGATTTATTTTTAGTTTCCTTATCCGAGTTATTTGCACTATCTTGAAACACTGGAAAATCTGTGGTGTAATGAATGGTAATTTCAGTCGCCTGACTACAGTAAGTATATCGTGACATCAGAATTGTACTTAGCTTTGAGATTACAGTCGGCAAATTGTCGAATTCATCTCAAGCAAACTACCCAGAATAGTGCTGCTGCTATATTTGAAGTATGCTACAATTTATTTTACCCGAAACGCCGGATAGCTGTAATAAATGTTCTGGAGTATATACCATAATCTGGATGGCTGCGACGAAGGCCCTACTAGGAAATTAAGTAGGGGTGCACCATTGGATACGGTATAAGAAAACGCAAAATATGAAGTATTAACAAAATACACCGGTTTGCAAAAAAAATTTGGTTCTGCAGGATAGTCACCTGGAACTCAGCTGAATCTCTCTCTAATGGATCTGAAAATGCATTGCTCTGTGCGGGATTTACATCTGGTGACGGTATGTACGCTCTCTTAATAACGGACGGATGCGTAGCGCTGATAACCTCAATTATCACCACTCTCAGTCACTGTTTAGTGGACACGCATAAGCCGGTGCTACTGCTGCGCTGTACAGGCCCCTGTGAGCTGGTTCATTGCATGGAAGATTATACAATTTTTATGCTGTCTCATGATACCATTCCTCTATATACCCGATTCTGTAAGAGACGTGTGGTGAATTCCATCTTACAGATAAATGGTCCTACGGTCTAGAATGAAACCGAATTTATGTTTTGTGCGAGGTTTCTTTTAGGCTTCTTGAGGATGTCTACAAATTAAAGTTTGGCCCTAACAATGCACAGCAGCCTCCGCCAACAAGAACGACACCAGAGATAGCTTTTTTTGTTAGCTGGATATACAGCATGTCAGAAATAGTTTGAGGATTAACGCACAAGTGATCTTTCATTTGTCAGGCAAACAATCAAACATCAGTGTCGCACTGAGAGCATATCCCGCAAGGATAGTCGATGTGCTTGAAAGTTGAGATGTTACTTTTTCTTCAATAGTAATCATCGGTATCTTATATCTTATGCATCTCTGGGGCATATGATTCTGATCCGGTTAACGGTTAGGTAGTATACCATTAGGAAACGAGTCACTGATCATCAGCGTGAACTAACTGCACCCTTCCATACACTGCCCACTCAGTTCTGATTTAAGCACCCGGCGTTGTATATTAAGTAATCTGGTTAACAATGAGCATCCTACACGTTACATGAGTCTTCTTTGTAAGAAACCCGTCATTCGACAGGTCGAACAACATTGGATCGTCTGACTAAAATAAGTAACTAAGGGATGGGCGGCCATTTATCTTGTCTAGTTGTGTATTATCCACTGTGATGACACTGAAGACACTTTTGACCATCTCCCCCAGAAAGTCGAGTTTCCGTAAATAATCCTCAGAAGAAATAGATATACAGAAAGTGGGTGGTATTCTGATATGGCTTTTTAACTCCATTCAGGTGAATTGCACTAACCTGCGCTATTTGAACATATGAACATCTGGATAGCGAATGCAATTTTCACCAGCTGAGGTGGTGTGTAAAGTTCGTAACCATTTTACGTATGAAGGCAAGCGTTAAGGTGATAAAGGAACGTGCTCGCCGGACTCAGGCATCACCATTTCCCCAGTGAAGAGTGCAATTTCTTCAAGGTAGCACATGCAGTTGTCGGTGGAGCTGGGAGCAAAACAGGGTCTTTTGAATGCAGGCAAACGTCTAGTAGGGACTGCAACTTCCGACTACTTAGGAGAAGGTCGTACACAGATCTCACGAACAAATGGTTCCTGAGAGCAAAACACGTGGAATCTAGACAAAAAACACTTTATACTCCCTTAGTCGGAAAAAGGCTGCCTCGCTTAACTGACAGTTTCAGTCAGCCGTTTTATGGAGGTCTACATGAGAATTTCTCGATTTCATTCACTTAACCGAGGATGCCTTTATTAAGCGGACTGCCGAAATGTGTGGTTGGTGAAAAAGCACCCATAGCGGGCTTGAGCTGTTTCACAGGTCAATATTTACTAACCTACTGATTGTTATCCAAACTGTGGCCTAGTTTAAATTTGGTGCATTTTTCTTCAAAGTCTTATTCTGACAGTTATAGATGGGATTGTCATCCAAAGACTCCTCTGTGATTATCATATCTTGTACGTGAATGAAACACATTCCACTATTAGAGACCATACTCTTTATGGAGACTTTTCTGCGATAGAAATGTTCAGATTCACTAAAGTTGTAGATCTGGTTGTAGATCTGGTGGCTGTTGATCTGTTCACCAAGCTTGACAACTTGCTTGCAGACGTTTTGTTACCAATCGTGACGGCACTAGTGAGACAGCACCGATCAGCCATTGATGATGTCTACAGGAATGGTAATGAAACGTCTGCGAGCGAATTGCCAATCTCGGAGAACAGATCAAAAGCCACCTAATCTACTGCCGGTTAACGCACCCATGCTACCAATATTGCTATCTATTTAGGCAGTTACCGTCCTCTCGTCTCCTTATCGTAAAGAAATACAACTTGTGAGGTCCATGCTCTTAACCGTCTTTTTACTGATGTACCCTAAAGTTTACGGAAAATTTATATCCTAGTTGTGGAACACAAATAACTGTTCCCCATACCTTGAGGTATGTTTACGGAATATTGATAGCTCCGGTGGGTTTTATTTGATCTTTAAGCTTGAATATTGGATTGCAGACTCCTGTTTGTCGGTTGTTATCGTGCCGTTGGTTGTGGTGTCCCTCCATCGACGCTTGCGCTTCTATGGTTTATCGAAGGGTACCTGATAGCTGTACTGTGACTACAGTTAACTGACAGGTCTGACTGACCAATCACACTGCAGCTACAAGTATCCTTGGAAGAATTGCGTATACGCAACTGCCGGAATGAAAGCGCCACAAACTACTAGAGGGCCAGTGAAGTTGTCTCGATTGCCGATGAAATGTTTGGAGTCCAACCGCCAAATAACCAAAGACCAAACTGTCTTATGTACAAGCAGCATGACGGACACCAGCCTCATAGGGAGAGAGGCCAGAGAAAAACTTGGGTTAATCATACGAATGAGTGTTAAATATTTATAGAGTTTGTTTTTGTTCTTTCCATGCGCTCAGCGAAGACTATTAGTATTCGCTTATTCCAAATGTAAAAGAAGTCACTGAATTTCTTTTCAATCTGCTCACAATTTTAGATTGTATTCCGAGCTGTTCTAATCCATACCTTTTCATTTTTTAGGAAATCGGTTGCACCCCCTATAATGTGTTTGACAATATTGACATTTCCGACATCACTGCGTGACCTTTTCGAATAGAAGGAGCCATCAGACTTTCGGCCTCAAATGCAGCAGGATCATCCAACGCCGTTTCTTGGAGGCTCCTGTCTCTTTGACCAAAACATTTCAAAACAATATACATCAAGATTTTTCAAAGTATCGGCGGCCATCCTCTGCATCCTATCCAAGTTCCCCAACAATGTACATAAATGCCCTTTCTCAACCGGAAAGTTTTGTTCGAGAGCCCTGAAAAGCTATGTATTATGCACATTCATTGGATAAATACTTTGCTGGGCACTGTGGAAGGCCACCAAAATTCGTCGAAATCTTTTGATATTGGATTTATCCACCAGCTTCTAGCATGCCTTCCACATTATTCTCAAAATCTGTTCATGTAGACTGAAATCTGTTTGCATTAACTCTGAACTTTCTCAATACATGCGCAGCGCACTCCTCAGCTGACATAAAACACTCGCACGAACGCACAAAGATTCAACGTCTTTCACTTATCACTCCGTTTCGTAAAATTATAAAACTCGCTCTCTGGCGGCACAATCCGGATATCTACGCGCCCATCCTGTAACGTGTTATCTTTTCGAACTTCACTTTGCAGAGGATTTTTGAAAGTTTTTGAATGCTTTTCTTCATTTTCTATCCGTACATCCTCCTCGCTCCTGAACGATAAATAGAACACCGAAATAAAAAAGGTGCATATACAAAGCGCCAACTTTCACGTACCTAGCTGACACCCCATTCTAGTCGCCCTTGTCCCCTTCTCCTTGTGATTTTGATGGCGTGTTGTTTTGATGGCGAGATCCGTTCCGTGCGAAAAACACAAGTTGAGCAAGTTGGTTAAGATAAACGCATTTTTTGACGTTCAACATTGACTGCGGCTGACTTGGAGAAAAAGCACCACTGTGCTGACACCTTCGGATCGGCCTGCCTTAAAGGTGGCTCCACAAGACACCGTAAGAGGCTCCAGTGCCAAGAGGGGCCCCTTAATCTATATACTCAGGCTAGATCGACGAAAGCAAAAAGTCGCATGTCGGTCATGTGCACAACCTAGTTGTCGTAGCGTTCAACAGCTGCCAAACAGCCCACTCTAGAGGCCTCTTGATTTATGAGTGTGCTTGTGTAGGTGACCTTCCAAACAACTGTGCTGGATGCATGTGTTATCAGTTCTTCAGCACTGCTGCTACCGTCAAGGCCGATAGTAATGATATTAATAATAATAATGACCATGATGTGAGCTGGAAAGTCTTCACCATTTTGCTTTCTATGTCGTTGAGCTTTAATGTGCCTTGTATTTTCTCTTCTCATGCGTCCTTTCTGGCCCATGTGTCCACATCTTTTTCCTCGAAACTACCTACAGTTACTGTTATTATTACCAGTATTGTGACACAAGTACGTACAAACACATCGATCTCAACGTCCTTTTGTCTCAGATATTTAGCGGACGAATTTTCTCCCTGTCCTGTCCTCCTTTTTCATGGCCTCCAGCGTGGTCGATTCTGACACCCCTAGATTAGCCGAATCATTTTGTCCATTTCGCCGCATTGTGTTCGTAATTTCACTGATTTTGAAGTACCCGCTCCTTCATATTGTATTTGCAATCACGAAATGAAAGTAAAATAAATTGTTGAAGACGTTCATTGAGGTAAGCAAAAGACAAGTGGTCCAATATGCAGTCTTCTATGGTGTGTGCCAGCCTGAGCATACATAACTTAACACCCTATTTATGAGTTACCATTCTTTTTCAAACTGTGGAAAAAAGAAATCGTACAACTGTAACATCCTTTTGGTGCCTAGCTACAATGTCACGCGATGGAAACACGATTGCTGTGACAATACCAGGTTAAACAATCCAAGAGAGGAAAAGTCGAGCTGCAGAGGTCGGATTCGAACACCAACATTTATGCACATGTTTTCTGGCTGAATAATACTTCCCTCTCATCAAAGTCTGTTGTGGATAAGGCTGCTTTACATTGGACCATACGGTTGCAGAAATGTCCAGCCTTGGGGATTTTTAACTTTGCAATGGCGTAATTCTGCAGGTTTGTTTGCCTTTCATAATGAGAAGACATACAAATGGTTGTTCTTTCGTACGGCCTGGTGTTTCCCTGAGGACGGCATAAGGTACTGTGGTAGAATGAACTCCAAATGAGCCTGTCGTGAGGCGATACTTGTTTTCTGCCAGATTAATTACCTAAATGAATCTGAGAGAAACGGTAAAACCTACGCGGTATGACGTGGTAAAGATGGAGCGGTCTGAAGCATTTGATGGTCGTCTGAAGGCTTTCCCGAAAGTCTTTGGGTCTGATATGTGGTGATACACGAAGCTTTGATGGTAGATCAGTCACGTGAATACACTCATAACTTATGAAAACTTTCACTGGATAGATGAGAGGTACTTTCTTCCGATGCACCAAAATCTCTCTTGTTCACACACGCACATACGCCAGTTGTTCCTCACACACATGCACCCTGGTTATGACACTTCATTGCATAACCAATCCACTAGTCATAAAGCTTCAAAGAAATGTGGAGGTGCCTGCGAACCACGAATTGTTGAGTTGTACTGGGTGTCTCCTTTATTCAGACGCAGTATACGCACAAATACTGATTTCTTTTTTAAGCTGTTCTATCGTGGTTGCATGTTAGTAGACTCAGGACGGCTCTGTGAGCTCCAATACTAGCGAAAGATGAAAGGTCCAGGAACGGACCACACTTAACCTATTTGGCTTCTGATGAACTCAGCGGATCGCCTACCGGTAATAATAAAATTATCCGCTAGTTTTGATGACTAGTTAGCGTATATGAGTTAATAGTTCACAGGCAGATAAAATTGCAAACTACTACATGGTTGGAGTTTCTACTGTCAACTTTATCTCAATTCGAAAATTGTGTAGCTTTACGTAGCAACTGCAGTTTTCGAGCAGCAAGCTATGGAAAGTAACAGCCTAAGGTCCGATTATCTCTGAATGCTTACCAGGTACATCATCTAGGAAGAAGAAATAGTGCAATATCTTACTCCCAAACAAGCACCGCTGCTTATGTTTCTTGGTCACTCTCAAACCACGCGTTTTTGTTGTCAAAAAGTGGCTGATGTCCTTGAAATTTTGTACGAAAGATTCGGACGGAGAATGACGGCATAGAAGGACCACAAGCCGATGGTTAGGTTAGGGAATCATGCTTGGAACTGTCGACTTAAGGCTTGTGGAACCAATTGTTTTTTAGATGTGGAGGAATTGACCTCATTTATATTTTGCATATTGTACCGGCTGTTGCTCCACAGTAAATTACGAGCACTACTGTTTGACCACTTCTGTATTCGTCGGTTGTCTGCTTAGTAAAACATAAGGTAAACAGTCGTTGGTTCATAGAACAAAATGTTGGACTTTACAGGAGCCATGGCACTTCATTGATGTAGGAAAGCTTATCCCCCAGGTGTCATTTCATGAAAGGAAAGTCACAGAGTTTTCGTTCCTAATAACAGATATATCGGGAGCCCTCTAAATACCCCCTAATTTAAGACACTGTTTGCACAGAGTTTCGAAGCGAGGCCGGCATTAAACAAGACTACGAAAACTTAATTCTTCAGTCACAGTAGAGTAGTGCACGAATTTATCAGCTCTCGCCTCTAATGCTCAGCTATCTACCTCACCTACCCAAATCATCGATGAAAGAAACTGTGTCAGCTACAACCACTGTACGACGAGTACGCTGTTCTTACAGCTGACAATGATGATGATGATGCACCGCTACCCGGAAGGTAGCTTGTTCAAGTTTCGTGACTGTGACCAGTTCTCTCTTAGCTTTCAGTCATCCCCCATTCACGTGGTCACGCATACACTGGCTCTTCGGATGACCACTCAGATGAAAGCTTCACCCATCTTGTGAAATTATTCCTCCCCGGAGCTACTTATTGTCGCCGCCTCCGATCCTTCCTTAGATTGGTTTTTCATGGCATCAGCTCTGAACTTTGCACCACACCTAACACCGTATAACACCACACGTCCCTACACTCTTAAGATTAATCTGTCCGGCTTCTATAGTGTGCAACATTTCGACTTTTTCGGCGAGTCACAGACGCTTCGGTGGAATGTGCACCAGTAAGCGCATCCTTCTGTCATGGAGCAGTTCGGAGAAATCGGAGCTGGTATTCAGCTAGATACTGAAAATCAATGGTCGTGAATGGTTCGTTTTAGATTCGAAGCGGCATGTCTTGTGTTTTAAGTGAGCCGAATGAAACTAAGCTGGAAGACAAAAATCATAACCAACATTTGTTGTTTATTTGTTCGCCAACTGAACATAATGCCACCGTGTCGAAATGCCTTTTGGTCGATCACTAAAAGCTTATAGCTTGAAGCGGAGGGGAACATTTTGAAAGACCACTGAATCAAAAACTTGTTCGGTTAATCAGGGTTCCTTGAAAAGGAGGATACTAGGTAACAGGGCTTGTGATGAAAATGGTTTGCGGAGACCCACAGGTATTCGAGGTTGTCCTCTTGTCGAATGCCAACAGGTAGGGTCGAACTGTGGGAGAATACTGCTCAGAATACTTGGAAGTATTACTAATAACACCAACAAAACCCATCTCGAGGGATTCTGCCTCCGATCAAGCATCCACAAGTCGACAGTTTAGAGCTCCCTGTTTGCCCAACATTAGAAAGTTGCGTAGGGTAGCAGAATGCGCCAATCAACGCAGCAAACGTCAGTCAGTTCCATACGAGTGAAAATCTCACTACTTTTAGCCTTTATGCGGTTTGATTCATGTGACTAAAAACCCCTGTGTTTTGACTTCCGGGAACGTACCTAAGGCCAAACGCAAGAAATATAGACTGTTCTTTACAACCAGAGGCGAACAACCAGAAAGTGGCTTTTCGGCCCCCTGAGAAGAATTTCCTCATCATAAGCAATGGAAATGAGATAGCATTCTATACGTCACGCTGAAACATTTTGAAAGCTTGTGAACATAAATTTTGAGATGGAATATTCAGTGGTCTTTGGCCAAGTCTGTAGAAGCCCAAAGTCTAAATTTTGAGTCAATCATTGAAAGAATAGTATGTATATGTGCCACAGTGTAACATGCAGTCTGTGTGCATCTCGATTACCTGAGTACATCCATCGGAGACTTCAGTCACATTTGCCTTCCTCTGAGTACCAGTGGTCTCGTAAACTAAACTGGTCTACTGGTGAACACAACTTACAACACATTGCTCACTCTCGACAACCACCCTCAAAAATGAAATTAGACTGATCGACAAAATTTTATATTAGCGACCTCCGGTTTATATGATCACCCAACCTGCGATGTACGACAAGAGTGCCTGATATCTCACGTATACGATCAACCTAACAACGTAGTAATCGGGCGGTGATGTGGAGAAGTAGGATTAGGAATTATAGGAATTACTGGCTGTCATACCACTTTCCTGTCCATTCCCAGGTGCTGAAGGTATTACTGTTATTTACTTGATGAAGAGACACAAGGTGCTGGTTGTTTGAGCGCAAGCCTCGGGCTTGTTTGCCCCTGGCAGATGAGTAATTTAAAGGCAAACTGAGCCTGGTAATTTAGATCTCAGTCACAGGTGAAAACTGTTATTACTGTTGAATTTCCACCTAATGTCTTACACACGTGTGGCACCTAGGTTAACAGAGTATTCTACATTATTCAAACTCTCGACTCTGGGGTTCGCCTAGGCCCACTGAATTCAAGAAACCTGATAAGACTATGTCTTTTCTTCCAAGATTTCAACATGTAGATATTTTCTTTAGTGAAATTGTGTTCTGTAGTTTTCTGTTCTGTTACAATTTTCTTACAACCCTCTTGGAGAAGTTCGATTCTCGTGCAACTTCTGGTCCATTTCTGCTGCACGGCAAGATTCCCTCATTCGAAGAAGACTAGTGGTATCGTTATTTTTCTGTGAGCTGGTGCATACGGGGAGCTGAGGTCCATCTAACGTACCATTATTCCAGAGTTCCCAAATAGTGTGTGGAACATTCTTTTGAATACTGTCTTACATGAATGGTTAATATGATGTTGAAAAGGGTAACTGAATACCCTGACCTAGTTTCCGCAGGATCTTTTTCCCCGGGAATATTTGGTTCCGGTGATCGAGTTTCCGAAATACCGTGGCCTGTCTTCAGACAATACAAATTAGTCGCAGAGTTTCTGGCGGGTGGGGTGATGGCCCGGAGTTCCATTATGAAGAAGTTCTTTGCCTCCTTATCGTCGAAAATGTGAATATTGTCCACTGCACAGTGCGAGGTTTTTGATTCCGTGATTCAACCCTAGGGACATTTATCCCATGGTTTGCCCGTTTGATCATCCTGTCACCTGAAAAATAAACTAAAATTAGGTGCTCGAACAGCCTTAGCTTAACACTTCCTCTTCTTTGAAGCTTGAATGTTTTCCCTTTTGACTGTGTATGCCTACAGTTCCATAAATACAAGGACTATTGATATTCAGAAAAAACCCTCAGCTTGACCCTATTACCCAAGCGTGTTTTGAGGGAACATTCGGTCAGTGTGGTCGATCGCGCACTTGAAATCAATAAGAGCTATGATTGTAGGTTGCCCATAGGTAAACCGCTGTTCTGATAACTGACATATCATGTAATTGCGGTCCGAAAATTCTTTTCTGAAGTGACACTTTTTCGCCATTCTCCGACCACAGATTTGTATACCTGAGGTCAATCTGATATTTTTGTGGTGTCATTTTCTTAATGAGCGCTTTTTAAAAGAAAAGGGCATGATTATCGATTTACCCCAATTTATTCGGGTGAATTCATTTCCCTGTATCAAGGGAGAAGCGTAATCCATTTGTACAAGTTTGACATTACTCGACCATCATTGCGTGATGTAAGCTTGTAAGAATTTGTTGGATCATTAACCTGATAGCAGTCGAGTGTTCAAGTTCATTCGAGGGTCAAAAATCCAACTGAGCAAGACCAAACCTCAACTTGGATTGCTCCAACGGTTCTGCTCAACGTTATAGCTGGGGTTCGATCGATCCACGAGAAGGCATGTGAAACCGATCTGATCCGGCTGTGAATACCCTTCCATGGGTTCGAATTCACAAATCATTTCAGTCGTCCCAAGTTATGGATATTTCTTCATCTAGGTGACTACGGTTAGTCCGATGTATTAACAAGACAGCCATCTCGCAGACAGTACGAGTTTACGACTGAAGTTGTGATGAGGCTGGTTGCATGATCACATTGGCAGTCGCACTTAAAGCTTAGATGACTGTTTCAGAGAGGCCAGTTTTTTACCCACCCTGTTTCATGGTACCGAAAGTCATACCAGACGGATTAACCAAACTTTGGATGTGGAATTTTATTTGAACCTATCGAGGTGGACGTCTCAGTGTCATACCTATCTGGATACTTGCACCGCCATCCCACCGAGAATTTGTCTATTCCGCTCTTGACGTTTATCACACACCAGTTCCAAATTTATTCCAGCAGATTCCAGTTTCTGTTGAAAACTAAACTCCAGCCATGACACCAGGTTGTTGACACAGTCTTCAATTCACGCTTGCTCACTTGTAACTTCAACAGTGAAGCCAGTGGATACTTACCGTCCACATGTTGATAGCAGTATTATGCGTCGTCTGCACTTCATCACTGAATGACTATCCACTTTATGCTCTATAAATTCCCAGTAAGCCAATAAGATAATGCCCAATGGTAGTGTCCCAATATGAAGACTAAACTTCCATTCAAGTCAAAAGATTCGATCGGTCGATATGGAACACCAAATAAGCAATGGTGAAGCACGTCAAACGGCATTCGGAAGAAGTAAATCACGCTCGATAGATGAATTGATCACACTACATAGGTTGTGCTGGCTTGGCCATGTGCTCCGTAAGCCAGTCGATCGACTTTCTCGAAGGGACCATTTCGCACAACTGCGCAAAAGGTGAGCCAGGGGAGGTAAAACTGACCTGTCAACGGAAGTATGAAAGTCATTACCAGCAAACTCAGCTGCGTCGGTCATAGCCATCTTCCTGGATGTGGACCCTGAGACGAGACAAGTCAGTGGGTTGAGACATTGTCAGACATGGCTTAGTAGGGCCCTCAGTAGCGCTCGTGCATCCAAGCTATTACTTTCAATGCATAGCTCCCGTCCCAACCCAACCCCCCGCACTTAACAGTCCACTGACAGTGCTGTATTTACGCACCAACTTATCGGCTTCCGCCTACAATGCGTGGCTACTTACCGCACCTTCCCAACTCATTGGTGAACGAAACTGTGGCAGCTGCAACCACTGTACGACAAGTAGGTGGCTCTTACGGCTGATGATTATGATGATGATGATGACTATGGGTGGACGGAGAGACAACCATTATCTAGTGGGTTAGAGTGAGGGTGTAGTAGTTTTCGGTTATTTGTGCCTTCATACGTGGCGGAGAAGGTGAGCGACTGGAGATATCACAACTAGACACCACATTTAGTCCGAACCATGACTATACGCACCCGAGTTCGTATAGTACCCGGAAATTCAACATTTTGGGCGCCGGACGGATGTAACTGGTGCAAAAGCCCAACACCGCAGATATCGGTCATTTAAGGCCCGGAAAATTTGAGTAGTTGACGACACATCTTGGGTGTTGAGTCAGTATCTATGTTTTGGTCCCTAAAAGGATGACCAAGACACTACGAAACAAGATTCTATTCTATCTCAAAACTGACGTAAGAGATGTTACTAGTTTTACAAGTGCAGTTGATAGAATAGTCCATTGAGTTTCATGGGTACATGAACTGTCAGGAATTACTGAGGTACAAAACATCGTTGCATCCTTGCAATTTCTCGGCGTTACGACAGAATATCGTACTTGTCACAAGGGTTCGCCTATTTTTTGGCAAATTCAATGATAAGCATAGGGTTTTCAGCGCCATTCAGCACGTGATTTATTTAGAGAAAGCAGTGTATCCGGAATGATAGCCTACGCACAGTAAGCGGTCGGGTCCATCAGTTAGCCGACAAAATCAGTGACAGTTTCTACGCTTCCAGCATATACTCGGTCTGAATGGAGACAAAGCAGCATCGTAGTTCGTATCCGTTCACAATAATATCATGTGGTCAACTCTCTTAAAGCTGCTGACCATAAGTTCACATTTCTTATCTCCGCATACCCACCCACGGCCTCTTGCATGTGAGTTTCCAGTGACCCGAACACACTTTTACGGCACAAAATTTCAGGCGATTTCAGACCACGGTTACAAGGCTCAAAGATTTCTTCGCATAATATCACTCAGAACCTTTGTAATAGCCTTCGAATCTTATTGTGGATCCCGGTGCTCCTAGTCTGTTTAACACAGATTGGCTTCAGTTTTGGGAAAAGATAACCGAAAATTCACAAATCTTTTCATACCTTCGGCAGTCTACCTATTCTACCAAAAGCTGCAAGGAAACTCGCAGACCACATCAGAGACAGCTAGGTCATACAGCTTAGGTTAAAGTCCACGCAGACCGGTATCAGACGTAAATGGGCTGCAACATAATGATTCAGCTGTATCATTCTTTCAGTGCTTAGCTGCCATGCAACCAGAGTAAAGCACGAGGGTCAGTGTACTGCAAAGTTGCCCAAGTCTAGACAGGAGTAGTAATGCAGAGGTCACGTTCGAACAACGGACGATTAGGTCAGTAGGTTCGTGCCTTACTAATTGAGCCATCTTGAGCCAACTTCAGCACAGACGTGCCTTAAAGCCAGGGTGAACTTGTGTCTCAAGCCATTATTCACGTGGTCACTGATGACTTCAACGAATAAAAGTGTTCCCTGTTACCAGAATACTGCTCGGTCGTCATTGTCCTACTCTGTCTTGTATCTCAATTTGATAGGAATGTAAATTCCTTTTTTATTTGATACAATTCACATATCTAACGTCCATGACTCAAGACAGTAAAATAGATGTTAACATACCCCGTCATATGTCTCACACTATTCCCCATGAGATCGCAGAGGACTTCAATACAGACCTGTTTATTCTTAGATCAACTGCTTGGTCTCGTAGAAAGTTGTTCGAGCATTTAATAAAGCCAAACTGTCTAATCCATCCTGTCCAAGCAAGCAAATGAGGCTTATAAAATATCTAAGTGGATTATTTCACCCATCAGGTTGCGAGTATGCTTTTTATCTTGAAAAGTCCACTGCAAGTTATGAGTTTCCCGCGGGTAAATCATTACGCAGTTCTCTAATTGGCCGCAATGGGTCCGGAAACAGCTCCTCATTGTCAGGTTAGATGAAAGTGCAATTTACTGGGTGCATAATGACAGCATTAATGAAATGAAAAAGTATCACTTGGCCTTCATCATACAGCGTTAGTCGTGAAGTCTCTTAAAAACACTCCTATCTAAATAGCGTCTGTTACCGGTTTCCGATTGTGAACACTGGTTCATTAATGTCAGTTAAATTACGGAGCATACTTGCGCAAGCCCAGAATAAGACTCGAGGGCGCAGATGAGCCACTACCTGGAGACTAGGATCTCTAAAATCGATACGGAATTTTATCTTCATAAAGCAGAATATGAAACTGAATACAATAAAATCAGCTCATAGAAAACTGATACCCGGCGACAGAACATTTTCAACGGAAACTTCGAGGCTTACAGTGAGGATACAAACCAAAACCATCACAGGTTTGTCGTTACATACATCTCCTATAGGACCTACGATAGTGGTAATCCTTTTAAAAAAATACTGTTCAGAAGAGAACATTTTTTAGTGCAACACACCTTCTAGAGAAAAAACAACTGTCAGGACTACAGAGAATGGTAGAATTTCCGACTGAATAAGTTGATAATTTACCCGACATAAGGTAACGATAATAAGGAAAGGAACTTGACCTTTGAAATACAGTTTTAGGAATCAGTTGTCATGCAAGAGGAGATCGACTACACCGACTGCATCAGTGAGCTGTTTCAATGTGGTGTACTTCGAAGTGACTGGTAAAAGTAGTCGTCAAACAATCCCTACCTCTAAAAAGCTGGAATTAATCATGTAGATTCCAACATTTTACCTTCTCAGAACAACACAGGTCTTTATACAATGCGATGTTTTTTGCTCGTCTTTTGAAGCAAGATTTGGCATTCAACCACAGAGTGAAAACTGAAGGCACCTGTGCTTATGAAGCACTATTCATTTACCATATCAATTTGGTTTTCATTAAAGACTCATCTGAATCTCCGGTGTACCATATTCTTAAAAGGAATTTGCTACAAATGACACTCTCAAATGGCTTCCTTGGCGGTGAACTCCTCTTCAACAGGATCAGCCATTTTCTCTTTGGTTTGCCATGCTGCGGAATGTTTTAAAAATTGATCCTGATTTGCGGCTCATCTGGGTCCCTCCATTAGGGTGGGCTTTTGCCGTCCGAGGTAGTCTCGTTAGGAAACATTTTTGGTGTGGTCTGCCAAACCAGGACCAAGCCTGCGCCGCCCATTTTCGGATTTTCCTGCCAGTTCAGATGTAAGGAAAATGGACTTTCGTGTGGCTTACTTATTGTCCGATAAGGCTTATGCTAAAGTGCATATGGAGCAAACGAAATGCTCCTTCCGGATGAAACGAGACAGGAGGATGCAGCCGTAGCTGGCTAAACATGTGAAAATCCCAATACATGGTCGGTCACTCAACGATCCCTGAGATGCACCAGAGGCATTTGCTTTTCCAGCTTTAGCCAATAACCACCCGGTTCTGTACAAGAGTTGTCACGGAAAGTCAATTCTAGCTCTGTAAACTCAACCGTGCATCCAGCAGTTAATCGTTCAGTTGTAACATCTATTAGTTACATAGCTGTCATGTCACTCGAGGGAGTGAGATATTGTCAGGCTGTCCAAAACTAGACGGCGTAGTCAACGTATCGAGGTTTCGTTTGAACCACGGACCCTCCAGCAATTAAGCTCTCGCCTCAACCACTGAGCTATCTTGCGCAGTCGACAAGGCATTTCACAACTGAAAGAAATCCCACTCACTTTTGAAGGTTTGACCAACATATGCCGCAAATGGAACTATACGGTCGCTGCGGACAAGTGTTGCTGTGTTGAAACCTTTAGATATAACTAATTGTTCAGGGAATATTTGACACATAGATCATATTGGTTTGGATGTGTGGAACAGCTGAGTAAAAAAAAAGTCAGATAGACATTCAAACTGGAAGTATTTGTGGCAGAGTTCATAGCTGAAGAATATGAGGACCGCAATTTTCAAACGCTGAATGAAAAGCTTAACGAAGTAGTTAGTTGTATTTCTTCATCCTCGTAGACCAACCCAAGACGTTTGCTTACGCTGCAAGTAAGCCCACCCACCAATCACAATCGCCCGCATGCACATGCGACGTGTGGACTTTAATCCTCTATGTACCGTTCATGGTGACTATTTTTATATACTGTATCCAGCTCAGTGGACTTGACAACCAGGAATGTCCGCACCGTAAAGCCAGCTAATTTGTTTGATCAAGTGTAAAAACTAGCGCAGTAAAGGGATTTTTTTCGGCTAGAACTGAGGGGCTTCGTCGATAACCGGCAAAACCCGCATCGCTTCCCGTAGTTGCCCACAGCTTGAATTGCTTTGTTCTGCACGCCAATTTCATTCCAGTCACTGCTAACGCCATCGCGCTCGGTGTGTTAAATCGTGTCGTCCACGGACCCACGGAAAAAATAATGAACGGCCAAATTTAGTGGTATTTGCTTTTAATGAATTGGTGACTTCTACCGCTCGGAAATCTAGTTAAAGTGATACTTTCATCTACGGTTTGATCTGTTTTGGACTGTAGACAATGGTCACCGTCACAAGTTTCCATATGTATGACTACGTTAGAAATCTGAGGCAGGTTTGGTGATCGCGCTTTGTCCACCAATTGTCCAACTATGATGTTCATTGTATTACATAATTCCCGCTCTGGTTCACCAATTGTCCACTTATGATGTTCACTGATGGCCAAGTATTCTAGTGTTGCTGCAGTCGCTGCAAGTATAGCTTGTTCTATCCACAAGAGTTTAAAGGACGCTACGGCGTTCTGCACGTCTCAGAAACTTAGCTCGAAGTTGTCGATCCATCAACTGAAAAACAGCATGTCATGCGCTAAAACTCCACTCTCTGCTGTTTTGTGCTCTCGCTCTCCATTCTACAAGGCCGACGATGACAGTTTTCAGTTTTACCTAAGTTGTGCGGATATCGACTTTCCTCCCCAACATCGCCTCCGTCTTTACCGCCTAGAAGCTGAGGTGATATTGCGTTTCTTTCTTGGGACTGCTTCAATCTGACAGAATACGTTGATAATTTTGAAGTAACAATGTTACGTGTAGGGCTCCATGAAATCTACACATAACGCAGTTGAAGCTGCCATGTTCCGT